ACTGCATTTACACCAGATGCGGCTGCACTGGCCATTTTATTCCAGTGCAACCCTAATGCAAGAAAAGGCAATTTGTCTAGTTTCATATGGGCTCAGTTCACACAACTATGTTGCGGTAGTGTGTGCTGAAAAAGATGTATGACATGCAGTACTTTTTTTCATTGCAGAGTGGAGCGCCATGGTACAACCGCCGCGCACCACAATGTGCCCATGGAACTTAAAGTGGACCTTTTCTCCCTTTGGCTAAAATTCACATCAACATACAGCTTTGCATGCTGATATGAAACTATCTTACATTTATTACATTATCTTACATTCATTCTTTTTTTCCACTTCCTGGTCCACTTTGGAACAAATGATCTAATGTGCCAAAGCATTTCATCCTGGGAAGGTTACTTCAGCAGTGCGTTGCTGGGAAATCTCATCTGAGATCTCAGGGAAAGACATTTTCCTGCCCTGAGATGATGTGCATGGTCACATGTCCTAGTCACATGTGCCAGAGTTCCAGGAAGGAGATGGAGATGGATCTGCCCTTAGTTAAAATGGCCACTGTGAGAAGAATGGGAAGTAAAAGAGAAATAAGGTAAACAAAAAAAAAAACCCGGCAATTATCTAGAAGTATGTGTTTGTAGATTGTCATTACTAAACATTTCTAAAGGTGCCTTTGTTGTTATTTTGAAGAAATTATGATTCTTATATATCTAATATCATGTAGACTACTGCAAATTGATTCTCATACCCATACAAATACTATAGGTTAACCTCTCCAAATCTTCCTGACGAAGCCTCAGCGAAACGCGTTGAAGACTGGCTGAACTAATGATATATAGAACAATTGTGTACAATTAATCATGCAAATAAGATATGAATACAATGAGGGTAATGACCAATATATGAATTTACAATCATGGTTTCTGTGTGGGTTCCAGGGAGGTTATTTATGTTGTATACAGCTATTTATGGTTTTATATGGATGAATTTTAGCATATTTATATGTATAGACATTATGAATTGAGTATATTAAAAATGGAATTTTATTATATATATGAATCAATTGACTTTATTGTTGGATCAATTCCCTGCTATTCTCCAGTGGTCACCACAAAGCCCTTTTCTTTCTCTTTCCCCCTTTTTTTGATATATATTGCATATATAGGGGTGGTGTCCCAGTTTGTGTGATGGTTCCTAATTTTTGTATTACAATTGAAGAAATTGATAAAGTTCCTCTTTAATGAAATGCCACTTGTGGCATTTCAATAAAGTTCTGAAAAAAAGGGAAATCGGTGCAGAATAACACTTTTGGTAGGGAAATAGTATGTTTCCATAGATATCTGCAAAGAGTAACACAGGTATTTGGTCGCAAATGAGGGACAATATGGAAGTATGAACATCTGTGGCTCCTCTAGAGATAGAAACAATTGAAGCCATGATCTACCAATGAGGTAGAGCAACAGTGAGTGAATAGCCGAATGCCGCTGAGCGGCATTCCGCTCGGTTGTTCTGCTCGGTCCCTCGGAGGGAAGTCAAGTAAAAAAAGTTTAAAAAAATAAATAGAAAATGATTGTGCGGAGCTAGCAATGACAGCTAGCACCGTCCAATAGTTTTCTATTGGCCGGCGGTTCTGCTGCCGTCAAAAAAAAGAAAGAAAAAACTCTTCCGGGCACTCTGGGAGTCTCCCGCTCCCGGCCGCCCAGGAGAGAAACACTGCTTTTTCTTTTTTTTTTTCTTTATTCTGACACGGAGCCGTGTCAGAATAGAAAAAAAAACTTTACCCATAGGAATGCATTGCTAGATTCCTATTGGATTGGATTCCAATTTGCAACAGCCGATAGTAAACTAGCATTGCACCGCCCTCTGCTGCAGATCTCTATCAGGTCCAATTGGCTATTGCAAATTGAAATAGCTGTCCAATCCTCCAACGCTGACTGGCGGAATGGACAGGGTAGGGGGTGGGCACAGCTGGCTCTGCCTCTTGATAGGCAGAGCCAGCTGTCAATCCCGCAGCTGGGTGGATCTCGACAGCAATGACGGGATCCATTCCGGCTGCGGCGTCTCAGTATACCGCGAACTACGGCTGAGCTTTGGGTCACGGGAGGACGCTAGTTTATGTCCTCCTGTGACCCTTAGGAGAACTATGGGGAAAAGCCCTGACCCCATAGTTCTCCTTTAAGTAAAGTTGCGTGACAAGCAACATATAAAATTGCTGCACAAGGGGAATTACACTCTTTAAGCTGAACATACAAGGCTCAGATTTTGATGAATTGTCAAGCCGTAGGTGTAGTCCCACCTGGTGCAACAAACTTCAACTGAGAAGTCGAAGAAATTGTGAGGTAAAAGTGATGGACTACAATCTCAATACAAATTAGTAAACTAAACATGAGATTGTAGTCCTTCACAGTGAGCTTGGAGCAGTGGCTACTCTACAATACACACATCGGGACCATAGGGAAGAAAAGAAGCCGCCCTCCAGAAGGAACAATAGTCTGTTTGGGAACAATAGTCTAATTGTGGAACTATTTAACCTGGCCCATATTTTTTTTAACCAAGGACATGGATGTATACGATCAAGGATCCATATACCTTGATCTGTGTCTGATTCTGCTGAAATTGCAGGAAGAGGGCACTGTCAGCATGAATTCAGAGATAAATTGAGGATTTACAGCTGAGTGATACACAAATAAGATACATTTTTTGTAATATTTAAGGTATTTTTAAGATTTAACTCCTGAGTCAGTGTCCCTTTAAAGGAGAACTATGGGGTTAGGGCTTTTCCCTATAATTTTCCTTAGGGTAACGAGAGGACACAAACTAGCGTCCTCCCGTCACCCTAAGCTCAGTATACCGCGAGCTGCAGCTCGCGGTATACTGAGACGCCGCAGCTGAAACGGATCCCGACAATTATGTCTGGATCCGCCCAGCTGCGTGAGTGACCGCTGGCTCTGCCTATCTAGAGGCAGAGCCAGCTGTACCCGCCCCCTTCCCCGCCCATTCCCCCAGTCAAGGCTGGCGGGTCGGAGCGGGGAGGGGGGAATCGAGCCCCTCCCCTGTCACAGCAGAGAGCCGTGACAGGATCGAGAGGTGAGCGAACGCCGGTATGTGTTCGCTCACTTCCCGATCTACTGAGCAGACCTGTGACAGTCTCATTGTCACAGGTCGGCTAGAACTATGAGGTGAGTGAAAAGCACTCACCTCATAGTTCTCCTTTAAGTCTTTACACTGGTCCTTCTTCAAATAATGCAATATTATCCATCACAGGCGTGAGCTTGGAGCAGTGACTATACAACACACATAGGGATCATGGGGAACAAAAGTAGCCACCCCCCAAAAGGAAGGACAGTGTCAGCACCAATTCAGAGATGATTTGAGGATCTACAGCCGAGTGATACACAAATAAGATACACTTTTACCCATATCTTTAAAACAAACACACCTTTAGAAATGTTTAGTAATGATCATCTACAAACACATACTTCTAGATAATTACCGACTTTGTATTCTTTGCATACCTTATTTCTTTCTTTCTTTACCCGTCTTCTGGCAGGTGCCATGTTTATTATGGGCAGATTACTAGCGCTCTTTTTACTTCCTGGGTTTCTGGCACATGCGACTAGACATGTGACTAGGACATGTGATCATGCACATCATCTCAGTGGAGGAAAATGCCTTTCCCTGAGATTACAGATGAGATTTCCCAGCAATGCTCTGCTCATGACAAGGCAATCCCAATCCCAGTGTGCATTGCTTTGGCAAATTTATTTCATAATCACAGCATTTTACACCTAATATGTCTATGTTATTATTAATCATCATACATACAGGGATACATTGGTAGAATTAGATTTTTGAGTGTAAAGGGCCGCTTTAATAGTTAAAGGAGAACTATGAGGTGAGTGAAAATCACTCAGCCTCATAGTTCGAGCAGACATGTGACAATGAAAAGTGTCACATGTCGGCTCAATCGATCGGGAAGTGAGTGAACGCATACAGTCGCTCGCTCACATCTCGATCATCTCCCCGCAGGGATTAACCCCCGCCCTCCGCTCCGATCCTCCAGCGCTGAGTGGAGGAACGGACGGGGAGGGGGCGGGTACAGCTGGCTCTGCCACTAGATAGGCAGAGCCAGCTATCATTCACGTAGCTGGGTGGATCTCAACAGCATTGTCAGGATCCGTCCCACTGCGGCGGTCTCAGTATACTGCGAGCTGTAGCTCGCGATATACTGAGTTTTGGGTCATGAGAGGACGCTAGTATATGTCTACCCGTGACCCTAAGAGAACTATGGGAAAAAACACTTACCCCATAGTTCTCTTTTAAGGCACTTGAATGCATTTTTATGTTTTAACTCCTGATTTTAGTGTCACTTTAAGTCTTACACTGGCCTTTCTCAAAGAATGCAATATTATCCATCACGGGAGCCACTTGAAGCGGTGGCTACTTTACGACACACACAGGGATCCATGGGAAACGAAAGTAGCCACCCTCCAGAAGGAAGGACAATGTCAGCATGAACTCAGAGATGATTTGAGGACATACAGCCAAGTGATACACAAATAAGATACATTTTTGTTAATAGTTAAGGTACTTGAATGCATTTTTAAGATTTAACTCCTGAGTTTAGTGTCACTTTAAGTCCTTACACTGGTCCTTCCTCAAAGAATGCAATATTATCATTATAAATCCCAAATGAGAAGACTTTTATAAACTAAGCAATCCCTGAAGTTGTCAAATAGAGAACTGTACACAGCTCCAGATACCAAAGTAATAACATAGCAATCCAATGTCCACATATTACCCTAGCAGGTATCTCTATTAGATGCATGTACAGGAAGAGAACATCTAGCAGATTACATATAGTGATGCGTCTGTACTGGGATCCAGAGACAGAGGTCAGAGAGGGCTGTACATTAGGGGTAGGCAATCTATACATGGCACCCAGCCACTCCCAGCTGTACTAATACCTGCACTTCACCCTATCCCACCCTCATTCATCTCTCCACAAGGAACGAAAGCGGAGACTGTGTCCTGATCTCACCTGCAGCAGCTCCTGGATCGGGGGACATCCCTGCGCTGTCATTTAGCTCCTCTCTGTGCTGGGACATCAGGATGGCCTGGTGGCTAGTAGTGACCCATGGCTTGTACAGAAGACCTCAGACTATCTTCATCCCTGCTTTCTTGGTCCTTCTCACCTGTGTGCAGAGCCAGCCGGACTCCCGATCGCTCAGCGCTGATCACATCATTGTGGCTAACCGAGGAGTCCGCGTCCCGTTCGGTCGATCGGTGACCCTGGACCCGGTTCTGGATCTGCTCATCCAAGTACAGCCCGGAGACAAGTGTGTGCTCAACGTGCTGGACAATGACCCTTTATCCCAGAGACCGGGCTGGGTTTCTCCTAAGAGGTTCTCGTGTGACTTTGGTCCTGGAGAAGTGAAGTACACCCATCTGGGCTCCCGCAGTCCCCCTCGGGATAAAGTAAGGCTGCAGCTTAAATATGATTCTCCTACGGAGACTCTCATCATCCCTTTTGTCTTGGAGGTGGAGGTGATTTTCCAGCAGCTGGAGATAGTCACTCGCAATCTGCCGCTGGTGGTGGAAAAGCTGCATGGACTCAGCGTTCCTATTGACAAGAAAGTCCTGGGGTTCACCTATGACCCTGCCAAGGAGTCCTGCAAGATCACCCCTCTTCTTGGGACAGGTGGGATGCCAAGGTATGGGCACCTTGTGAATTTGACTTCTGCCTCCCAGCAGGGCATTGACTGTCACAGTTTTACAAGTTCAGGGTTTCGCTACCAGCACACAGCCCCTCACAATTCACCTAACAGAGACTATTTGCCCATGCTGGTGGAACTGACAAGTGGCAGCAGTGCCCCTAGACAAGAACACTTCCATCTGACTGTCCGGATTAAAGAAGGAGTTGAGAACACCCCACCACGCCCTAGTTTTGTTTCCATGCTTATGATGGAGGTGGACCAGTTCGTACTTACCGCCCTGACTCCTGAGATGTTGGCAGCTGAGGATCTGGAATCTGACCCTGGGGATCTTATCTTCAACCTGACGAATCCTCTAGACCCAGACACATCTGGCTACCTGGTGAGCACAGATGATCAGAATTTACCCATTACCTCCTTTTTCCAAAGAGATGTAACAGAGCTAAAGATTGCCTATCAGCCCCCTTCCAGCGAGTCCTGGCTGGAGAGGATCCTTCAGCTAGAGATGCAAGTGATTGATACTGAAGGTGCCTCCTCTGAAACCTTTGCCTTTATGATTGTGGTCAAGCCTATGAACACTTTGGCTCCCCTGGCAACACGGAATTCTGGTCTCTGGCTCCTGGAGGGTCAGTCTAGACCACTCTCTGGGCCAGGCTCTGGGTTGAACAATCTGATCATCAGTGATGAGGACAATATAGATGAGGTGAAACTGAGTGTGGTGAGTGGGCTCAGACATGGACAGCTTGTTCTAGCACATGGGAGCACTGCCAGTGACAGTGGGAGCAAGGGCTTTACCTTCACGCCTCAAGAATTGCACTCTGGTCTGGTTGTCTACCAGCACGATGGCAGTGACACATACAGTGATAATCTTATCCTAAGAATGGATGATGGAAAGCATCGTGTGGAATTGCTCTATCCCATCACTGTGTCGCCAACAGATGATGAGCCCCCAGTGCTCAATGCAAATACTGGACTAAGTCTACCAGAAAAAAATATTGCCCTTATTTCACCTTTTATGCTCAGTGCTACAGACATTGATTCAGAAGATTCCACAATCCTTTTTGTGCTGCAGGAGCCCCGCAGCCACCTTGGGGAAATAGTTCTTAGACAGGTAGAAGAACCTGCTGAGGAAGAAGGTTGGAGATACCTTTCTGAGGAAGGAATGTATGAGAGAGTGGTAAGCCAGTGGTACCAACAAGATATTGTGGATGGCAAACTGTATTACAAGCATGTTGGTCCACACAGTACTGAGACTGTATTAGAAAAGATAGTATTTGTGGTAATGGATGACAATGATCCACCTAACCAGTCTGTACAACAGATATTTACTGTACGAATAGAACCTATAGATGACATTCCACCAGAGCTATTCCAAGGGACAACTTTACATATGACTGTTAAAGAATATGAACTGACCCCTTTTAGAAAAAAGCATTTACGCTACACAGATATGGATACAGATGACAGAAACCTCAAGTACACTATTCACAGTCACCCCAGAGACGCTGATCCTAACCACCCTGCTCCAACTGGCCACATAGTGCTTAGTGACCTCCCAGAGGTTCAGGTCACATCCTTTACACAAGCCCAGGTTAACCACCATAAAATTTCCTACAGACCCCCAGAAAAGGAACTCGGAATAGCCCCCAAAGTTTTGCAGTTTAATTTCACAGTAGAGGATGCTGCAGGAAATTCAGTTCAAGGAACTTTCACTATCTTCTTACAGCCTGTAGATAACAAACCACCTGAGATTATTAACACTGGATTTACTGTCTCAGAGAGGGGTTCTTTTACCTTTACTAAAAATGAGCTTGATGCAACTGACCAGGATACAGAAATTAAGAACATTAGGCTTACACTATCACAGGCCCCATTACATGGTAACTTCAAGATTCATGGTGAGCCCTTATCACCAGGAGAATCATTTGGTTTACCTGATATACAGCAAGGCCATTTAACCTATGTGCACAATGGTGATGAATCCATAGGGGATACTTGTTCATTTGTTGTCAGTGATGGCATACATGAAGTGCCCATAACAATACAGATACATGTTAAACCAGTGGATGATGAAGCACCTACTCTCATGCTCCCTGGGGGACTTTTAGGATCTTCCTTAGAAGTCCTGGAGAGGGGAGAAACAGAGATTACAACCAATGTCATCCAAGGCACTGACCCAGACACAGATGATTTAATGCTGACATTTATTGTGGAAGAACCTCCCAAAATAGGGGAAATATTGGTCAGTGGTTTACCTGCTGAGAGGTTTACTCAGCAGGACCTCCTCAATGGTGATGTTGTGTATGCACATACCTCAGGAGAGGTAGGCCTTGAGAGGCAGCAAGACCTCTTTAACTTAACAATATCAGATCTTTCTGATGAGTGGGTAGTCGGAGGCAACAAAGTACAGGGTGTAACGGTTCATGTGACAATTCTGCCAGTAGACAGTGAAGCCCCTATTGTAAAATTAGGAGAACAATTCTCTGTACTAGAAGCAGGAAAAAACCTGATTACACCAGATCACCTAGATGCAGAAGATGTTGATACACCAAAAGATGAAATACTGTGCACTATAATTGTGCAGCCGACATCAGGATATGTAGAAAATATCTCCCCAGCCCCTGGTTCTGAAAAATCCAGATCTGGAACTCCTATCAGCGCATTTAGTATAAGAGATATTCGTCTTGGACATATATATTATGTTCAAAGTATTCACCAGGAAGTAGAACCTGTAGAGGATAGGTTTACCTTCCGCTGTTCAGATGGCATCAGCTTCTCTGAACGCCTCTTCTTCCCAATTGTAATTATTCACACAAATGATGAGAAACCAGAAATCTTTACCCGAGAGTTTATTGTTATGGAGGGCATGAGTCTGGTTATAGACACTCCGATCCTCAATGCTGCTGATGCGGATCAACCTCCAGATGACCTTCTCTTTATTATCACACAGCCCCCTCAGCATGGTAGAGTAGTATTGCAGCAAAATCCTTTCCCTATCCTTAACTTCACATTGGAGGATATTAAAGAGAGTTCCAGCATTGTTTATGAACATGATGACTCAGAGACAAAGGAGGATAGTTTTACCATTCTCCTAACTGATGGAGAACACAGTGTAGAAAAGAAAATCCTTGTAATGGTTATTCCTGTAGACGATGAAACTCCAAGACTAACAATCAATGATGGTTTAGAGGTTGAAATTGCAGAAACTAAGTTAATTACTAATAGGGTTCTAAAAGCCACTGATTTAGATTCTGATGATAAATCCCTCACATTTGTCATTAGATTTGGCCCCAATCAAGGCCTGTTGCAGCGGCTTGACCAGTATGGTTCAGTTTTGAGTAACATAACAGTAGGAATGAATTTTACCCAGGATGACATTGACAAAAATCTCATTCAGTACACTCACTTAGGCCAAGAAGGTATCCGAGATCTCATGAAATTTGACATCACAGATGGCACTAACCCATTCATTGACAGATATTTTTACATTAGTATTGGAAGTATTGACATTGCTTTCCCAGATGTTATTAACAAAGGAGTCACACTAAAAGAGGGGGGAAAGGTAACTCTGACCACTGACCTTCTGAGCACCAGTGACATCAACAGTCCAGATGAGAACTTAAAATTTAGTATTACAAGGGCACCAAGTCGTGGTCACTTAGAAAACACAGATCAGCCTGGAGTCCCAATTACTGCTTTCACCCAGCTACAGCTAGCTGGAAATAAAATCTATTACATTCACACTTCAGAAGATGAAATGAAGATGGACAGATTTGAGTTTGAAGTTACTGATGGCTACAATCCTGTCTTCCGTACTTTTAGAGTTTCAATAACTGATGTGGACAATAAGAAGCCAGTTCTAACAATTCATGACCTCCCAGTGAGTGAAGGAGAGAACAAACTTATCACTCCCTTTGAACTCACAGTTGAAGACCTGGACTCTCCTGACCATTTGTTGAGATTTACCATCACTCAAGTACCAGTTCATGGTCAGATTTTACTCAACAACAGTCGTCAGGTGTCCACATTCACCAAGCAAGACCTTAATGAAAATCTCATCAGTTACAAGCATGATGGTAGTGAGACAACTGAAGACAGCTTTTCTTTCACTGTTACCGATGGAACCCACACAGAGTTTTATGTATTTCCTGACAACTCCTTTGAAACAAGAAAGCCTCAGATGATGAAGATTAGAATTAATTCCCTAGATAATGGTATTCCCCAAATTGTTGTCAATAAAGGGGCTTCAGCTATAAGAAGTCTTTCTGGCCATCATGGTTATCTAATAACCAGTAAATCATTAAGAGCAGAAGATCGTGACAGTCCCAACAAACTTCTCAAATACCGAATCACAGATGGACCAAAACATGGTGTTATCATCAACTTGGCACATGGCAATGAATCTGTGAGGACATTCACACAAGGTGAGTCCATTTAAACCTGAAATTAAATCATATGTAGGTACAATGCAAACTTTGTGATATGTAGATGCAATAACAATCCTTACTTTCTTGTTTATATAGATTAATTTAGGCACATAGCAATATGCAAAGTGCATTAACCTCTAGCAACCAATCAGAATAAATTATTATTATTTAAAGGTAATCTTTCAGGATAGGAAATTGGGGGCTGCCATTGCTGACTTCTTTTTGAAGGTGTATGTTTTAGGCTTGTCATTCTGATCCTTTTATCTCAATTTGGTGATTTGTTGACATGGAGAAAGCACATGCATTATGTATCCCAACACCCATTATGAACATGTTTGTTCCTGGCAGTAACTCACAAATTAGTAAAGCCAGGATCAGAATGACAGCCGCTGAGTACACATCTTGAAAAAGATGTAAGCAATGGCAGTACATAGTAACATAGCTATATTAATAAAAGACACATGCCAATTGAGTTCAACAATAATTAAAATGTCCAAATTACTATCCTGACAAGTTCCTTTTTAAATCTGTTTATCATGCTTGCTGTTATAAAATATTATGTTACATTTGCATAGTGGTGCATGCACATTATTGTAATACAGTGTAACATTTATTTGTTATCAACCTTTATGGATGCCAAAGGGCAGGAGATTGACCTTTTTTGCTTTTCTCTTCAGCTGATATTGATGACCTGAAAGTCTGTTATCTTCTTAAAGATGGTGACAATGCTACCAGTGATATCTTTCACTTCTCAGTAGAAGACAATGGTAAGTTTTTAATCTCATGTTTTATACAAAACGTAAGGTGCAAATCCAGGCAAGCCTTGCTCCAAACTGCCTTAACCCTGTGCTAAACTAGGCTCCCAAGCGACGATTGCGCTACGCTTGTTATTGATCGCCATGAACATATTAACTCTAACAGGGTTATTCACAAAAGGCAGAAGAGTTTGGAGAAGGCAGGAGAAGTGAACAATCTAGACCAAATTAGCTTATTTGGAAAAAGTCTCCAATTCAGCTCACTTTCCAGTTCAGCTATGTTGTCCTAGATTGTTCACTTCTCCTGCCTTCTCCAAACTCTTCACCCCTTTGTGAACAACCCTGTAAATTGATGTGCAGTAAAGGCTTTTAAAGCGTCACCTATGGACAATTCTGGGTGTTTTTTTTATCATTTATCATTTCACGGGTGTGTGCCGTTTTAAGGCTTGACATGTTTGCGATCTGTTTACCTAACACAATCCATTCTTTTATATTTTACCAAATATATAGTTATTATATTCTGTTTGTGTAGAGTAATATTAATTTTAGTGTATTTTTTCCTAAAAATAGTGATTTCATAAACATTTGTGAAAAATTGTGTGATTTACATAATTGCAACTAACATTTTTTTTATTCTGCAGGGCTTTTGTTATCAGAAAATATATAATTTTCAGGGGTTTAAGACGTTTTTTTAGCCAAAAATTCAGAGTTTAACATATGTGTGCAAAAATTAGAAAATTGCTCTGGACACAGAGTGGTTAAAGTAGACCTCCAACCAAAACCTAATTCTATAGAAAGGGGAAAGGTTAGAACCACTGTAATGCTTTTACTGCAATCTCTGTACAAATGGGGATGATTTCCCCATAACACCTTGTATCATTAATGGAGGGAGATCTGTACAATGGCACCCAGATTATCTTTCTTACCCTATCCTAAACAACAAAAATGCCAGGAATTCCACTTAAATGATTACACTAAAGGCTGTTTTATGTGCAAAAGTTTGAAAACACAGAAATAGGATAGTAAAAGTATACTGTTTGTTGTATCTCATGTTGGTACGAGTAAGAGACTGTTATTGGTCAACAAACTTGAAAAAAGAACTCATCTTATATATAGAAGCTAGTTATAAATCCACAGATATGCAGGCCCGGATTTCCCACAAGGCCACTGAGGCCCGGCCTCGGGGCGGCAGAGCGCAAGAACTGTAATAGTGTATTTTGTATGGTAAATTGCACAATGTCATTCACATGTAATCAGGCATTTACAGTATGATACACCATTGACATGACATGATCTTCACTTGGTTTCTATGGGTTCTTCATTAAATCTGTGGCGGTATTTAGTCAATTGGCCATCAGTTTGTTATTTTTTTTTTCCCAGACCCCGAGGCTGGACTGTCCAAGCAGTCTCTCTATAGTACCTGAATGTGCACTCTTTGGCAAGAGGGGTTGTGCACTGATTGTTAAAGATTGATTGAACACAACCAAGCAGCTTATAGACAAAGTATAGCATAGCAAATACACTATAGTGACATTCTGTCTAAGTTATTCGTAGATTTCCAGTTTAAACTTTGGAGGATGTGTTAGTGCTGTATTTAACAATTGTCTATATGATAAAGGTAAGCTGAGGCATGGAGGATACATCTGGAAATGGAGCACTCCCTGTGATCTGTTAAGTGTCCATTCACATCAGACAGCTGAATTGAAATGCAAGCATTACAAAAGGCAAGGGTATGTGCTCTGAATTGCAGTATACCAGCCAGCTACAGGTCTGAACAAGTGCAGGGTCACACATTCACTTGGCTGGTGACAGAACTTCTCTGAACTGTGCTCTGTTTGGTAATAACTAGTTCACTGATGACAGATATGGTTGAATGGCTTCATAACGTCACACCAATTTTACAGGCAAGATAGGGTAATATTTACTTGGTAGCTGTGTTGCAGCCTAACATTCACTAATCTATAGTGTTAGCAACCCAATTCAACTAGATACACCTAAAAAAGCATACATATAAACCTTTCTTTGATTTTAATACTGATTTTGTTATTGATGAATATTTATTGCTTTTTATCCATAAGACACTATCCCACAGATACAGATATAATACGGATATAGTAATATTTGTCATTGTGATTATAATAAAGCAGCTACAATGAAGTTTTACTGACCACCTTGTGGGATCGCTGGTTGTCTGACTATCATTTTGATGCTCTTACTACAGTACTTTCCAAGTCACTGACCTGGATTGAGTCTGCAGCAAAAGTCCAAGTCAAAATTCCTGAACTACATACAGTACTTGTTCCAGGTCAGTAATTTAGACATTACTGAAAAAAAGTGCATAAGATTAGCATGACAGCCAGGATGCTAGCATTTTAGAGGAAGGAATAAGCAATGGCTGCTTTTTTTTTTTTTAATATAAGATGATATGATATAGAACATCCTTAGACTAATGCACAAAAGACTCAGGCTAGGTTCACGCCCAGGCAATTGAGATGGTGAGCTGTTTTCGCACAGTTTTTGTGCGTTTCTGTGCGATTTTGCTTTGAAAACTGTGCGGTTATCTTGCGGTTTTCAATGCAAAGAGATATCTATGGGACCCAAACCGCGTGACAAGCTTCTGCTCTCCACCTTGGCAATGCATCTGTTGATCTGCCTAACTGCCATTCTCCTGTCCAGTGAGATCACTTCAATAGACAGTAATGGCACTCTCAATGTACAAGAGAATGGTATTTGGGCAGGTCTTAGTCCAGAGGGAAGATACATCAAGCCCCAGTAAAGCAGAGGTCATCAAGATTGAACAAGTTGGCAACCCTTACATATCCATTAGACCTCTGTTTATGAATATGTATATTCATTATTTGGTATGTGGCTGAAGAGTTGACCCATGGTAAAAAAAATAACATAGCATATATTATATTGTAAAGTGCTGTGCAAATTGTTGGTGCTATATAAATCCTGTATAATAATAATAATAATAATAATAATAATATATTGTAGTAACTTTCAAGGTATTGCTGGCAAAAAGGTGCTAGGTTTTCGCAAGTTTTACTTTTGTACTGATTTTGTTTCAGTTTGTTTCAAGAGTCTTAGGTCCTTGACAAATGAGCTAAGACCTGTCCAGCTGCCATTCTCCTGTTCAGTGAGATCACTTCAGTGGACAGTGGTGGTACTCTCATTGGACAAGAGAATGGAATTTGGCCTAGGCCAGAGGTCAGATAAGTCTAGCTCCAATAACAAAAATAAAATGTAAATCGACAAGGCCCACCAAATAGGCTTTTTATGGTTAATAAAAGCAATAACAAGGACATTGTGCTCAGGGCCAGGTTGAAGCAGAAGAGCTGACCTCCTTGGGGCTCTGCGGTGGTTGTTGCAGTTGAGGCAGGAGCTTTAGCTATTCCCTCCTCTGTGCAGAACTGGGCTGTCAAACTGAAAGCTCATTCCTGCAGATTACAATGGGGGAGCATGGTTCTTCCTGTATTGCCAGTGGCACTCTACTCCACTGCCAATGTGACAACCACCCATTATGTAAACAGAGCACAGTGTTGGGCTATCATGGAACTCTGATAATTACACAGGGATAAGTCAGATTGCACTGTAGGGAGAACTTTGATGCCCAAGCTGAGCACTCACCGTGGCAAGATAAGCAGAGACCACCTAGGTAAGTTACCCTGTTGCATCTGCACTTTTTAAGTTTTCTCTTAGTTTCCCTGCAACGTTCCACAAATACCTATTCAGCCTGCCAGTGAAGTCCACCTAATGCAGCTTCTTGTGATGGTGTGGCAACAATACTGCATTGCTCATGAATTCAAAGCAGTGTTGCTATTCTCATGTAGGCGGTGTCTGCTTGTACTAAAATGGAATGAGAAGATGTTACCAGATGCGTAGATAGGCTGTAGCTTATCAATCATTACTTGACTTCACCTAGTCCTGCCCATTGCTTTCTTCATTGACAGTGCTTTCTTGGCTGCTGAAACCCTCCCACTGTGAGACACCAAAGAAGGGAATTTGGCTTAGTCAGGAAAGATAAATTATGTTGTTTTTTTAATTTATGAGGCTTAAAAAACACATAGTAACTCAAATTGGAACTTGTTTATATTGTAATACAGGAGTCTTTACTTTAAGGGGAAAAACTGGCAAGGTTTTTCAGAATGCTACCTGTATTTAGTAACCTGGAGGTATTTAAACAAAGGACAAGGTATTTCATTCACTAGAAAAGGAAATGGGATGGAGAAAATGAAGGCTGCGAGTTAAAGAGTGCCCTTTGCATACCTAAATGAAAGGACTGGTTTTCCTAATTACAAGTCCATTGGAGAGTCTTCTCTTATAGAAGCTGTGCGACCCTGTGGCAGCTTTAGCAGCCCATGGCTATAGAATTGTATGACAATGATTAATGAAAGAGTTGATCCACTGCAGTTCATCAGCAAGGCTAAAGTTTTTGAGTAAAGTAACATGCAGTTGCTTTTAAAGTGAGCTGTATTAGAACTACTAATAAATAAAAGCACTACAGGTAAAATTATAAGCTAACATTCAATTAAAAGGGATTTCTCCTAAAAACAACAAACATCAGGTGTATTCAATCCACCCCCACTACTTTGGGAAACTGATTGTCAAGTCTCAGAATATACCTATTGTACCACTATCTGATAAATCTAAGATTGCATCTGTTTTCTCTTAATTGTACATATAGAGGGTTATTCACAAAGCTAGCCAAAGGATCAGCCGTAGCTCTGGCTGATCCTTCGGCCGGCTAGCTTCAGCCGCCTGAGCTAGAACCGAAGGGCTGCTGTACGGGATATTCACTATAGCCCGTACAGCTCCCGAAGCTGGCTGAGCGGCTCAGTCGAGCCAAAAGCATATGCTTTGGCTCGACTGAGCCGAAGTGAAATTGATCTTTCTTTTTGTTTTTTGTTTTTTCATTGATCTTTCTTTTTGTTTTTTTTAATGATCTTTCTTTTTATTTTTTCAATAATCTTTTTTTTTATTTTTTTTTAAATCTTTATTTATTTTTTAA